AATAATAATATATATATATATATATATATATATATATATATAAATATATATATATAAATATATAAATCATACCACCACGATTGTGATTTGACCGAGGTTACCGTGTTATACGTACTTACTATTAGCCACGGAAACGGCGCCATGTGCCGAGGAAGCTATGAAGCGCTCGTTACCTTTAGGACAAGTAATTTTTTTAAGGAATACGCACAAGTGCGTACACGTACATACACACACGTAAGTTTTCAAGCTCAGTTCAATCCCACAGATTCTTCTTACGTTTATAGTCAAACGTTGATGATTAAAGAGCATCGAAAACGCCAAGTGCTTCAATTGGACGAACGATCGTAGTATTGTTAAATATTGTTGCGAAAAAGATACATTCTTCTTTGATAAATTCGCTTGCGTGAAAAATACAATATTTCCGAAATATACGACGACTACGAATATTTCGACACAATTATATTAATTTTCAAGACACACACGTTCTGAATTAACGTAAGTTTATAAGTAATTCTTGGTCGTTAATGCACATCTCAATGATTTATTTTCAAAATAACTTGTTTCGGAAAATTCCTTTTAAAATTTGAACTTTTTTAAAGCAACCTTAATTATAAGTATTTTAATTATTCGCATTTTATTTGATAATTTAAGAGCGCAGCGTTCTTAATGGAATAAATTATCTGATATCTTGACGAAATATTGGAACAATAATTGATTAAAGATCTTTATATGCGTAATCCAAGATCGCTTGGATTGAAACTGCTTTCGAAATGACCCATTGAATTGTTCGATCTTTCCCATATAAAGCGAGAATGTAGTTGGCTCATTGAATGGGATGATCAAGTGAAGATGATCGTCCGTGAACGATTCTATAATTGTTCGTCACTCCTATTTTTCGTATGACATTTATAACTACGTAGTCACGCCTTTGTAGCACGACGATGACTGTATATATGTCAATATGTAATATTTGATGCAAAAATATATATATATAATTCAATAAGATTCCTTTCGCATTTATTCCGCTAAACCTTCCCTGTAATTAAGTTCTATAATCTTGCTTTCGATGCACGAACACAATATTAATAAAAAGTAACGATTCTCATTCAATGCATTTGTTAATGAATGCTAATTAATATCGGTGATATTAATAAATGCAATCAATGGAATAATTAGTTTATTTCCTATATTTGTTACATTGACGATATGCATTCTAATAAAAAATCCTCGATTTTTCTGAATATTTATTATTGAACATTTATTAATTGCAGCACATTATGTACGCGTATCGTTCGGTAAAAACAACATTGCAAACGAGAAGTCAGGATTCAGTACAAGTCATATAATGCTTTCTCTCAACCGCTTAACAAAGTGGTTTTACCCGGTGCGATTGTATGTCGAGGGGTCAATGGTGAGTTCAGCCGAAAACGATCCTGTTGCCAGAAAATTACGTCCTCTTTACTCCACGTCGAGAAGAAGAGCCGCAATTAATGTGGGAAACGGCGGCTTGGCCAGGGTCACAGGTGTGTGAGAACCGGAACACTTGGACTACCGGTGGACAAGCTGGCGACGTGACTTGGAGATGAATTTCAAAAGTGATGAGATATCTTTGGTAATCCAAAACCGAGAACTATTTATTCACGTGCTACGCTATTTATAATAGAGATACGCGACATCGCGAGATGAGTCATTTTAGGATACGTTAATCACGTTGATTGCCTTCATTAAGCAAATCGCTGCTTCCGGTCCGTCCATAGATTACAGTTTCACTTACGAGTGTGAGCAGGAACTTATAGTTGACGCTAGCTCATGCTCTAATTTTAAATAACAAAAAAATAAAATAAAATACAAATAAGTAAATAAAGTGTGGCGAAATACTTTTAATTAAAAAAATGTTTATTTTTATCTCCTTAATTAAAATATTTATATTTTTTTTACATCGTACAAAATACGGACCATTAATAGCATCTAGATTGCTCGACGAAAGAACCGCTCGTCTTTCGGAGACGCGAATCCATAAATAAGGTCTCACTCATCTCGACCAAACTTGGCCTGGAGGTGATCAGATCTGAAGGCACGGGCGGAATAGTGCGCTTCAGGCTAAGTAAGTACCTTCTTAGCGAGGACGTGACTTTGACCCAGATATCGGTAAACTGTGCCAAGTAGCCCGCGGATGCAGTTCGTATCGTCTGGATCGAAATCGCGCCGAAACGACACGACAGAGATCTCGATCCTTCGATCTCCTAACATGCGTGATTTAACGCATGCAAATTTCTGCCTTTCCAAACGATTTCGCGAGAGTTCGAATATTTTGGTAAGTAATGCGTCGAAAAATATCTTAAAACAGTGTCATTCGTGATTTTATGAAAAATGATATCTAAGTATTGTTTGATAAAATCGCAATGTTAAATCTGCAAAATAATACGGATGAAAATAATATAATTGTTTTTATTTGCTATCGTAATTTTCTAAGCTGCTAAAGCACATAGATATTTACAAATTTTTGACACGCAAATTAATATTGAAGTATACAATTTTATAATCAAATAATTCGAATTACACGTGTAAGAAATTTTTGAAGCTGTTAAAACTTAGATATATTCAAGTCTCGTATGCTGTTGATTCTTTAAAAAAAGTCACAAAGAATGCAGAAATAATAATACCTTAAAAGATAAAAGTGCTGCTGCGAAGAGACTTCGTACATTATGCGTTAGCCTTCGGTAAACGTATTTGCCTACTTGGTTAATCAGGGTTGGAAGAAACCGGGATCCTTGAGTCATTACTTTTAATTAGAAATGTTGTACTACGACAATGTATCATGGAGTGAATTGGACGTTTGAAATAAAAATGAATGTTAACATAAAACATAGCAAGATAAATATACTAGATGAATAAATTTAACATTTGTGAGAATAAATGATAAATTAATTATATAATTAGTGTTAAATAAAAAGTTTAATTAAATTCTGATTAATAAAACTAATTTATCTGTTTCTTCAAACATTTATTAGGATTACTGAAACAATTACTATTATGTAGAATAATGATTTCATTAAAAATAAAAACTCATAAATGACATGTGAAATTTTTAATGGTTGAACGTTACAACAAGACAATGTCGAATTGCAGCGATGTTGGATTCAACCTTGACGACGATGACAATAGAGATGACTCGCCGACAGGGCTCTAACTAGCAGTGAATCACTAACAATATGCATCTTCTTCGGAATTGCGACAGCGAAGGATTGTCTATTTAAGGCAATGCCAAATCGGTCGAAAGAACCACCACGTGCATCGGTCGTTTATTTAAGATTGCTCGTTCCAAAGTAGTTCGCTTGACGTTTATATGATATTACTTTGAAGAGTAATGTTAATCGGAAGTCATGCGGCAAAACGATACTCGCGTACAACGTGTATGTTAATTATGCCATCGACGCACTTTTATTCTTGAAACGACCACTCATATTCCGATTACTAACTGTGATCAAGCACAGTCATCTCATCCATTAGATGGCGAACGAGATCCATTTACATCCGCAAGATGAGAAGACCGCACGATGTGTCATGTTTTTATGCTCATCTTTTGAATATATGAATCGTCTTCTAAAAAACACTGCGCGCAACATCAACGATGAAATCAGAACGAATAATAAACGAAATTAGGCTGAAAGTATAAAAAGAAGAAATTATAATGATATTATAGAAGAAAAATAATACAGGCGATAATATATAAATGATATTTGCTATTTTATTAAACAATTCAAACATTGTTATAAAAGATATGCATTCGGATTTTTCAATATAAAAGTAAAAAAATATCAATTTTTTGTTAAGATGACATCAACGCAAGCTATTGCATAGAATGCAAGTTGATGTCACAGTTTTTACTGTTGCGCATATTAATTACTGATGGACTGACGGTTCATTAAGGACAGTACTTTTTTTTGTTAATAACGCGATAGATACCGCGATAGCGACGCCGTGATCATTGCTTCCAAGGAACTGGTTCCAAGATCCATTGTTGATCGAGATTCTCAGTACAACTCGCAATTACAGGGTTGTTATCGTGTGTTGTTGCTTGAAGGCACATCCCAGAAGGCACGTGCAAAAATACTTTTGTCTAAAAATAATTATTGCCTCTATAACGTACGCTAAGAAGACTACTATGATAACTGATAGTTCATCAGAGAGATACCATACTTGTTTATCATATTGCCATTTCTGTCTTTCGCGACCGCTACACGCCATTATTTTCACTTTTGGCGTCTTCTGTTGCGTATCGCGTTCCGGTGCGTCCAAACATACACTTTCATCCGTCATTATCACTCCGTTTTTGGTCATCACGAACATCTGGCTGAGTACCGGCCGCGCTATGCACGAGTGTAGGACTGCGTTCCCTAAAGGTTGCCCGTAAGAACCTTTTGCAGTCGGCCTCATAATACATTTCTCTGTTGCAGCGTGCATTATCTAACAGAAGTAATATTATAAGCAGCTGCTCTATTCAATGCAATGTTTATTCAAAAATTAATATTATTTGTACCCTGCCGAAGAATCGATCATCCGTAGGAAAGAAGTGTTCAGGCCATACGTTCTCCAAGTACCACGCGAAACTTTTACACTGCAGTTTCTCGCGTAAGGCCAATCTCGAACGGACTTGCTGCTTGTATCTCAATCTGGCTGCCTCTAATAAAATTCGGAGTATAAGAATTCACCGATTCATAAAATATTTACATGTACTCTAATAATAATCACACTTACCGGGATTGAATTTAAAGTAAAACTCCGCCCAATCATCCATCCACACCGAAGCGACTCTAGCAAGGTTGCTGTATAAAATATCACCCATGCCACCCGGAAAAGTGTAAGGGGAAGACTTTCGAAAGAGATGCCCGACGTGAGAGCAAGGGGCAATCTCGATACTACCTCCGCACTGCCAAGCGCGAAATGACAATTCCAAATTTTCGCCGCCCCAAATTCGCATCTGATCGTCATAGCTGCCCAATTTGAAGAAATAATCTTTGTTTATTGAGAATAATCCGCCTGCCATTGCGGGAGTGCGAAACGGTTCGACGATGTTCTCACGTCTCTCCTTTAGCAGACGGCCGTTCAAAGTTAGCCAGCGAAAGTGTAAATCCCAGTTGAAAGCACCCCAATGGAGCTCAAAGGATCTATAAAATTAACTTTTTATCTGTTATCAAATCAAATGAAAAAAATGCAATCTTGTTGCAACTGTTATCAAAGTATTGCAGTTTCTTGAAAAATAGAAATTAAACGATTACCTTGTATAACTGAAGGTATCGTCATTTATAATATCTATTACTGGAGAAATGATTCTTGTTGCGTTTTTACCAACTGCTTCGAGCAACGGTTCCAGCCAGCCTGCAAATATTACATTCAATGTTAACATCAGATAATATCACATGATAAGAAAACGCTGAATTTCATATATTAGAACAATATAGTAAAGCTTACCTACCAACCGTACATTCGCAGTGAGCATCGAGAAAAGTGAGAACTTCACCTTTAGCATTGTTCGCCCCCAAAAGTCTTGCTTTTATTAATCCTATTCGTTCGTTAGATCGCAAAACTCTTGTAGGTACAATAAAATTCTTCACGTAATCGTCTAAAGGGCCCTTCAGAAAATCTGTATCAACAGATAAAATAACAGAGAATACTTGATAAAGATGATAAACTTGGTTATAGTTTTTCGAATTTAATCTTTCCTCACCTCTTTCGCTGTTGTCATCAACAAGAATAATCTCTTCTAACAATTCTCTCGGAGATCGATTGATGACACTATGTACTGTCCGTAATAGCGTACTCCAAGCTTCATTATGAAATACTACAACGATCGACGTTTTTGGTAAATTACCTACATTTGCATACCTTATGAGGCATCTATAAAATTTTTAATACAAATTAATTTAAAATTTTACAATCGAATAAAATATGACGAGAATCTATGTGACGAAAAATTTGAGTAACAATGCTTACTTTTTTTTTCTAACGTCGGGTAAAGATCGATTTAATGGTATCTTATCACTAGCCATTAAATTAAATCGATTAATCTGATATAACTGCTGCATCTTGTAAAAATCTTTCGGATGTATTACTACAGGTTCTCCATTTTTACCTTCATACGGTCGTGGATTGAACAAATTTTGATTAATAATATCTGGAAAAGGAAGAATAATATAAATATTTGTTTTCCACTATCTTTCTGGTATACATATCTATCTCTTACCTTTACAGTATATCTATTACCTTCAAATCTATTACCTTTCGTAATGTTTGGAGATTTCAAAGAATCCACAGAGTCTCCTATATAATGACCGACCACTACATGAATTCCTCGACGGTCGATGTAATCTTTTTGGTCTCCATGCAATCTTTAATAATTAAAAACACATTAAGTAAAAATTTGATTTAAATCAATTTAAACATTACAATTAATTATGCACTTGTACCGTAATGAGATGAAGTCATCTCGCTGATTGATGTCTTTCTCCTTGCTTTTCAACCAAATCAGAAATACGCCTACTATCGTGATGATCAAGAAAGCGATCACTGACAGACGACGAGATCGTCTCAATCTAAGCCACATCTTGCTGTTCATTGATCCATAACATTGATTACATTCATTTCCTTGACACGCGTAGCAGAGAGTTCAGTCATACACTCATCTGTTTCAGGAAATCTCATTTCATTTTACTATACCAAGTTGTTCGAAATTATCACGCAAGTCCGGCTTCTGTTATCACAAACTCCTCGTGATCCACAGGTCGGGTCATTACGACAAAAAAGAAAGATTCCAAGAAATTCTGAAATAAACTCTGAAACAAAAATCACGTATCATTACAATAAAATTTAAATTGATTAATGTCTAAATATTTTAATAAAACAAAATGATTTGGTAAAATGATCAAAACGTTTGTATATTAATGAAATAAACATTGTTTATGCATATGTAAAGTATCAATGCAGAAACAAAACTTGTTTTGATCTATTAGCTTATTCATATTTACTTATCATTATGTTGATTCTAACATTAATTTCTCAAAATTTGTCAATCTTTTAGTTTCATATTTTTTCCTGATTTTTAGCATTTCTTGTCACTATTTTAATAAAAAATTTTTTTATCTATGTAGTAATTATTAAATCAAGCACTTATTTTTATTGTATATATAAAGATCATTAAACAGTATTGAATTTAACTATATTTTTACATTTTGAATTTTATATTTTGAAAAAATTGATATATCAAAAATTACATCTTAATCAGCTTAGTACATCATAATTGATAATCTTATAACACTGTACAAGTCCAATGTACATACATATTATGATTGGATTAAACTTCAAGACTACAAAAATTGCAAACAATGTCTACAAAAATATAATTTAAAGCAGAATCATAATAGAGTTTAATAGCATAATATACAACAGACTTTAAAACAATATAAATAGAGCCATTATTATAATAGCATAATGAAATTAACAAAATAAATCTTAAAATAACAAAATAATCAAATTGTACTATTGAAATACAACTATAAGATACTGTTCACAATTTGAATATTTATAAGATAATAAATTTAATGTAACAGAATACAAAGCATTACATTGTCACATTGTGCAAAGTTCACAGATTGCCAATTAGTCATTGAATTCTATAGCATTTACATTTGATGCAGAGAAGAATACAATTAAAAAATTTATATATATAATATATAATAGTGTGTGTGAAAAGAAACTGCAAAACACAACAACTGATCATAATACTACTTACATATTATCATTTGTTTTCAAACTCTCAAACCAATCAAGCTGTAATATAGCTTAATCATATGTTCAACATTTATAAAAGAAATTTAACAAAGAAATAAACAGTTTAATATCGAACAGTAGAAAAACTGGTAGTCTTGTTTATACAACACCTTATTTGTAATTGCTTCACAGCCTGGAAATTAGGAAACATCAATACACATGTAGCCACAAAATTATGCTTAAACAATCTAAACAAACAAAAAGATTGGAATAAACACTTCATTAATTGATAAAATAACAATATTATGCAAAACGATGCACTTCTAGCCACTAATTACCTCACTAATTTCGAAGCAACGCTTTGTTAAGCAACAGCAGCGAAAGTGCTCTGACGCCGAATAACATCGCCGTCTAGCAGCTTAGCAGCCGACGCCGACGTACGGAAACGAAAACGGATGTCGTAATACACCAGTGGTTCCAAGGATGGCGATACTATCGCTTCGCATGCAGCTCGCCACGTTGGAAGACTTGACGGGTCGTTGCATCTTGTCAGAAAACTCTACGTATTATTTTATATAAAGCCTCTATTTACAGTCGCCAGAATACGTCAAGGTGAGAGCGCATCATTTAATCGAAACACTTTTTTTTTTTATCGTCGTACTGTATCGAATGATTCGAAACAATATGAATTTTATTACTGCAATATTATCTGATTTTCTGATAATATTATTTACTGGTTCTATGCAATTAATTTCTAATTTCTTGAGTTTCTGTACTCTTTAGTGTATGGTGTTATTAAAATTTTTTTTTTTCTTTTAATGTATACGTATATATATAAGATGTTATTCCATACATGTGCAAAATGCCAAAAGTATATTTTTTTCCTTATGTCATATGCAGATGAAAGTCAAGGAATTGCTGAAGACTGTGAATGTAGCATGGTCTCCACCAGCTCAACATCCTATCATGTTGGCTGCGGGGACAGCGGCACAACAACTAGATGCAAGTTTTAGTACTTCTGCCAGTTTAGATTTGTACTCATTGAACTTACAACAACCAGGATATGAAATGGAACTTCAAGCCAGTGTTCCCAGTGATCACAGGTGAGTAATTATCAATTGGGTTAAATTGATTTAGTGTACCATGGTTGATTAACTGAATGCCACTTATCGATAATCTAGGTTTCATAAAATTATTTGGGGATCCTACGGAAATAACCCAGCAGGCATAATTGTTGGAGGTTGTGAGGATGGCACTATAAAAATCTATTCTGCTGCAAAGTTATTGGCCAGGGATAATAATTATTTGATAAATAGTCCTCTCAGACATGCCGGACCTGTCAGGGCAATGGATTTTAATCCGTTCCGGGATGAAAATCAGTTAGCTACAGGTGCAACAGAGAGTGAGATTTTTATTTGGGACATTAATACAAATACACCAACAACACTTTCTAAAAATCAGCAGTCAGAAGATGTTCAACACATTGCTTGGAACAAACAAGGTTTTTATCATCAGATTATAATTAAAAATAATTGCGCATGATGCAGAAAATAATTTTTAAGCAAATCTAATTCTGATAGTTAACATTGTTATTTTACTTTACAGTACATTTAAAGGATATTCTTGCATCCACATTTTCACAGTGCTGTGTTATATGGAATGTGAAAGAAAAAAAGCCAATATTCAAACTGACAGATGCAAATTCAAGGGTACAATTTCTTCTAGTTTGACTGTAATGCAATACATGTTTAAGGAAAATTTTACAGTTATTTTCTGACATTAGGTACGTTGGAAAGTTGCCCAATGGCATCCAGATGTTGGAACACAATTGTGCTTAGCATCCGAGGATGATCAAACACCCATCATTGAATTGTGGGATGTAAGAGTTCCAACATCACCTCTAAAAACTCTGCAAGGTCATCAGCGTGGTGTTCTATCAATTGCATGGAATCCACAAGATTCTGATCTACTTTTGAGCTGCGCAAAGGATAATAGAATTTTGTGTTGGAATCCTAATTCAAACGCACAGGTAATGTAATGCATTTTTTATATATAAATAAAAATTATTTTGACATTTAATTTTATATATGTTTTTTGAATGGCAGAATGGTGAAGTGATATGTGAGTTAGCTCAAACAGCTCAATGGAATTTTGATGTCTCGTGGTGTCCGAGGCATCCAGGATTAATTGTTGGCAGTAGCTTCGATGGCCATGCTGTTGTCTACTCTTTATTAGGTGGATCACAACAAGAAATATCCAACAGAATGGATTTATTCCCAGGAATAGATCCTTTCAACCAGCCTCTACCTACAATGCAAACAGGAACAGCACCAGTTTTAACAAAAGCGCCTAAATGGTTAAGAAGACCATTTGGAGCATCATTTGGGGTGAGTTAAATTTTCTTTTATATCATATAATATATAAATAATATTTTTATAATACAAAACAAGAACGATTGCTAAAATAAAATTAATATTATTTTTAGTTCGGTGGTAAATTAGTAATTTTCGAGAATCAATCTGCTGATTTAAACAGAAAGCCAAATTTAGAGAGGAAAGTTATTATATCACAAGTAATCACACAACCCAGTCTCATTCAACGTTCCAATAAATTAAAAGCAGCAGTGGAAACTGAACAATATAGTGATTTCTGTCAAGAAAAGGTGGATAGATCGTCAGATGAACATTCGAAAAAAATCTGGAGCTGTGTTCGTGCTTACTTTGACGAAAATGTGACAAAGAGTATATTAGAATTATTGGGCTACAATATCGAAACGATGAATAATAAACTGAATCAGTTTATACCTCAGGATGATATAAGCAGCATCATAGAAGGTGTCTCTAATCTTAACAATGTAAGGTTTGGATTGATATTAACATCGCGCGTGTACTTGTGTAATATTGCTTTAGCGTTGATTATATATGCTTTGCTTATTTCATGCAGGTATTAAATGGAAATGTTATGGCCGGTAGTACTGGATTTGATACCATTGCACAAGAGCAAAGCAAGAAAGCATCGTTAAACAAACTTGTGGATAACACTTACACCATAAATACTTCCGATGGTGAGGAGCGCGCTAATAACTTTGACACCGCAAGAAAACGAATTTACATATAACTCACATTTACATGATCTTTTAGATGAGGATGGCCTTATCACTCAGGCAATCCTCTTAGGAAATATCGAGGCTGCCGTATCTTTGTGCTTCGCTAGCAAGAGGTACGCCGATGCCATAATCCTCTCGATGGCTGCCGGCCCCGAGTTACTGGCTCGTACCCAGTACAGATACTTTTCAGAACATTCCAGTGCACTGAATTCTTTGATCAATTCATTAGTTAGCGAAAATTGGGCAGAGGTTGTGAGCAGCAGTGACATAAAATGCTGGAAGGAAGCGTTAATTGGTATATTTACACATTCCAGTACACAGGAGCGATCTGCCTTGTGCGGTAAGCATGCGATAAAAATAACTTGTTACGATTATTTAATATATCACGTTTGTAACACAAATTGTGTGTGACAGATATGCTCGGCGATCGTTTGGTGTCGTGTGACAATCCGAGTCTTAAGAAGCAAGCGCAAATTTGTTACATTTGCTCCGGCAACTTGAACAAGCTGATTGAGGTGTCCGATGCCGATATTCAAGAAGTGGTGGAACTGGTCGTCATCATGCAGAAAGCCTTGGAACTGCAAGGTGTCAGAGAATTCGAGATAAAGGATAAAATTGCCTCTGTGCTGTCTCAGTACGCTGAGATGCTGGCGGCGGAGGGTGATCTGGAGGCCGCCTTGAATTACCTTGGAAACAGCCAGGAACAAAGAGTTTCGATGTTGAGGGACCGTTTGTGCAAAGCTCTGAGTTACATACAAGAGCAGAGGCATGTCGCGAAGCCTGCGACGCAGAACTACTACTACGAACAGACGCAAAGACCCTCGCAGAACTTGCAGAACGTGTACAATCCGCTGCAACAACCGTTTCAACAAACACTGGGCGGAGACCCCGCGCAGAGCTGGAACACAACTCCGCTGAAACAACTTACGGTGCTTCTACAAATCCATTTAATAGTCCACCGTCCCAGCTGTCGCAGCCGCCTCAGTCGTCCCAGCCGTACGGAATGCCTCCACTCCCCCCACAGCCGCAAGCACAGTCCACGATCTACGATCAGTATTCCACATCACACTCGTACAATCAAGCCCCTTACAATCAAGTTCCCGCTCAGCCTCCACCTCCACCTCCACCGACATCCGGTTCTAGTTTGAGTGGCTCGAGACCATCCAGTGTCGGACCGCAATCGAGATCAAAATATCTAATAGATCCCTCTGTCAAATCCACTCCCTCATACGGTCAGAGTGGTTTCCCGTCGCAAAATCCGATATACAATTCTCAGCAAGTGGCTCCCGTTCCTGGCTACCCCCTACAAAATTCATACCAACCCCAAGTTCCTATGTCCGGTAACGTTTATCCCAATCAACCGCCAACTTTCATGAATAATCCGAAAGAACCTGAGTTGCACAAGCCACCTCAGTCAAACGTGATGCCGCCAGCGCAAAATGCGCCCCAGACCCAGATATACGAACCCGTCAGATCGCAGCCTGCATCACAAATACCGTTACCTGGAAATGAAAACATGTATCAGATACCGCCGCAATCGTCTGGATGGAATGATCCACCGATTGGAAAAGTTCCAAAATGCAGGTAAATCATCGTCTCGAGTTTATCTAATTGCGTTGCGTCCGATCGATAGCTCCTATCGCGCGTTATCTTCTCTATTGCCGTTCGCGAATAAATTTCTTCCCTTTAAATACTGATATGCTCTATTAAAATCATGTAGCCGGTACTGGCATTATACAACAAAAACGAAATGTCTGCGGAACATGCTGGTACCAGGAAGTGGAAAGCAAAGCATTCGAGGGGTACAAATGTTAAGGTAGCCGGCTTCACAGATTGAGAATGTCATATCTACAATGTATCGTGATTACAGAACGTACATTAGCATTATTGATTTGACCACTATCTATATTTCCGTATTTCATTAATAGAATTAACTGACGTAACTTTTTTTTATATTGTGATATGAACTAATAAGTGTGCTATGCCAAAGGAAGAGATTTCGTAATTTTTTTTTGTCATTCTATTTATATTTTGTAACTTGCGTTATAAATATAAAAGTAAACAATTTTTTTTTTGTACAGATGATTAATGCGATTATCACTTTAAGTATCAAAGTGAGTTTGTGGGGCTTTGTTGTCTGAAAGCTTTTATTTATTTTCATATTATAGATGCATCATCAATCGTCACTGCAAAGCGATTGAAATAATCTGAGAAAAGTTTACAATAAGGATGAACGATTGAAAATGAATCATTTTTATTTTTTTCAGCCAAAACAGGAATTTCAGTCAAAAGTTCCCATTTTGCATCCATTGCGAGGTAGCCAACCAGAACCAGCTGTAAGTTTTTTATATATAATTTTTGTGTATATTATATACTTATAATTATATGTATGATTATTTTTAATGTAATTTTTTCAGCCATTACCTCAAGATAATCTCTATCAGCCTCTTGAAAGTCATGCACCTTATAATTCACAATATGGACAAAGTATGCCAAGCATTGCATCACCTATCAAGCCACCGGTTGAGCCATTACAACCTGCGATGCCTGCGAAGGTGGTTGAACATGAAAAACCCAAAGCGCCCATTCCGGAGCAGCATGTACACTTGAAAACAGTATTGGACGAATTAAAAAATCAATGCTACGAAAATGCAAAGAACCCGGTGAATACTTGATTCTTAATATATATTATATACATAACTCTATTCGTAATATAAAATACTGTGCATCTATTTAATGAATAAGACCTTTTATATTTTTATTATTATTTTTCCAGCAAATTAAAAGAAAAATAGAAGACGTGTCAAAGAAACTGGAAGTGCTATACGATTGTCTTAGAGAGAATAAGGTAAGTAAATTGTAACGTTACTGTGTTACATATATTTGAATAACTTGTGATTGTTGGTTTCTTTTTCAGTTATCTCAGAATACCTTGCAAGGGTTACATCAAATATCACAAACGATTCAAAATGGTAATTATACGGGAGGATTAGACTTACATACGCAGTTAGTATCAGGACCAGATTTCAGTCAGATAGCTTCCTTTATGCCGGGGATTAAAGTTTTACTTCTAAGTGCTCTTCAATTAAGCGTATACATTAGATAGAATGCAAAAATCATTGTTTCTGTATCATTATGAATTTTTATAATTCTAAGCAGCCTTAACAAGAGAATTATTTGTTACATTACTTAAAAAAAACTTGATAATAATCAGTATAAGTACCCGATAGTGTGTAATCTATAATCACTCGCATCATTTATCAATGAAATTTTATATAGTCTGCTTTGAGAATTATATTTTATTAATTCAGAATAACTTTATATAATTTTGCTAATTGTCAGTCTTTTATTGTTAAATATGTATGTAAGAAGATAACATAAAATATATATTTACATAAGACGTCCATACGAAAGATTTAGGGGCAAGATGTTAATAAAACTTTGCTTCGATAATGTGTATATAATTATAATATTAAAATCTGTTATGAAAGAAATATTCTAATAAATCAAGAACTTGTTTCTTTTAAACTTTGGTTTCGGTTTTGTACTCGATGTATATTTAATATGTAAAATAAGATTTTGCAATAAATAAAAGTGATACGTTCTTTTATTTATAAATTTTATAAATCTATACATTATTTTATAAAATCTTCATAAATAACTTCCAAAATGTCATATGCTGCTAAATAAAATTCAGAAGCGAATTATGGATGTGCAGAATTTAAAAAAATTTCATATAAAAATTCCCATTATGTACGGATTATGATAATAGTCTAAGGTGAATATTATAGAATAATTAAACCATGCAAAATAGCGGTTTTTTCATTGACAATAAACTTTTGTAATAATTCGTCTAAAGGATCGATACCGTCCCGTGCGGCTTGTCGACGCATGGTTAGCTTCACTTCCTCACGCACACCTTTATCAGCACCTCGGGTAGTGATACGACGATCTAGAATAATATTCTTATATAATTTCTTAAATGCTGTTATAAATATTGATGAAAGGCATTATACATACTCTGCAAAACTCCCGAACCTGTAAAGTCTAGCGACACGCCTCCGCCATGTTCAGTCCATAAATACGTTAATTCTTCTAAAATATCTACGCATATTACATAGGATTGGAATAATGGATAAGCGAAATTCCCACGATTAAGAATTCGCTCCGTAATTGTAGTTAAAATACTAGCTTCTTGTGGCCAATCTATCTGTATTAGAACCAATGCATGCCCAATGGCCAGATCTCCGACACTTCCAGGTAAAGAAAAATTTTCCTAAAATCATATCGATCGTGTATTTACCGAAAATACAATATGTTTTACGACAAAAGAAATTACTACCTTTATAGCTAAAAGAAGCAATCTGCAACAGTATTGTAAAATGGGGAAACGGGCGAGAGTCAAATAATGCAAGTGCCTCATACTTGAAGCCGTTAATTTATGAGATACTTTGCCTGCTACAGCGGGTAACGAGCTTGCCACTAAAGTAATATGTTCCAACATTCCCTAAAAGAAAAAAGAAATTATTTAATAACTTGAAGAAAATACATTTTCTGAAGAAATTTTAAGAATGGAAATATATAATCACAGCATACCTTATAATCTTTTAAAAAGAAACATGCACTGGCCAAACGAAGATTAACAGATAAATTACTGCTTTCTTGTGACAATCTGGTTAATACTCCCTGATATAAACCTTTGTACATTGCAAAATCTGCTAAAAACGGATTCAACCAACTATCTAGCCGCAATTGTTGACTCAGTTTGCCTACTTCTCTTTGGAGATAATCATTGCTATGTAATAAATCCCATAACTTTACTGCCAATGCTAGACCACTGCCATTATAGTCGCTGTCACTAGTTACTATTATTCCAACATTGTCCTCTCGTTTCCGTTTTTTCAATTTGGGTTCTGGCTTATAAAATTCAGAATGTAAATATAGCTTATAATCATCTAAATGCCAATGAATACAGTATCTTACCTGCAGAAGAATGCATTCCTTCTCCAAAGGCTTCTACAAGACAATGCATGGTCTCATCGTTGTTAATAAGAGTGGCATGCTCGTTCAATATCCTCAATAATACTACAATTGTACACATTAGTAATTGCCTGACTATGATCTCATCGCACAAACCAGCACTATGTGCAATAGTATACTGTTGAAGCCTGTCACTGTAAATTTCACGATCCCAAGGCATAGAAAATAAACTACTCAATTCCCATCCTAATTTCTTGCCTATTAACTCCACAATTTGGAAAAGTCTGTCCCAAGGATTATGAATTTGTGCATCTTGAGGCTGTAGTATATATGCTATGTAGAATTCTACAGCTTTACAGAGTAAGCGTAAGCTAAGACGAGGATTCAATTCTACTGGAGCAGCACCGAGTAATGGCAATGCATCACATGCCAATAATCTTCTGAAACCATTCACAGCTCGGCCTGGATGACTGTGTTTTTCTGCAGTCAAGAGAGTTTCTACCAAACGTGGCTAACAAACAAACGATAACATAAAGCTTTTAAAGTATCTTTTAAAGGATAAGAAATACATTTATGTATTAAATTCATATTTTAAGTACATACACCATGAGTTGCTATAGTTTGAGGAAATCTTTGTAGTAATAAAAGCAATAATTTGCAATGCTCCATTGTGTCTTCACTATGATCAGCTGTCATTACGAGTAATCTGTGTTGTAGATCTTGTGGGATCTGTTGAAACATTTGACACAAAAATTCTGCTTCACTATCACACTGTTCTAAGCGCAGACACGCTGTTACCATTTCTATTTCTTTCCATATATCACGATCATCCGGAAAATTTTGGAATCTATATTTACATTTAAGAGAAAGTTAAAAGATCATATAAATACAATGAATAAAGTTCAATCAATACTCACATTTCACTAAAGCATTTTGCTGCTTCTTTGACATTTTTTGACAACTTCTCAATACGATATGCTTCAAACTAAAAACAAAATGCAAATATAAATTCTTATTATCTGTACAATTGTTATAGATTCAAATAAAATCTATGTATATATATATAGTTACTACAAACAATTTTTTGAATAAATTATCTGACTCATACATTTAAAAAATCATATGTATATAATGATAGATTACTAACCTGCACTTTTGCACTATGTGGAAATAAAGATCTTGCAGAAATTAGCCATGATTTAGCAGCATATATGTCAACTGGCAATGCTTCTTTAGCTCTCATTATTAAATAATCCTCTTTGGATAATTGGTTATCCAGACCAGACGGTTTTTCCAACATAATGTGATATGAGTAGTGATCTCAACGTACGTATTTATATACAATATATATCATATGATATGTGTCACATCCAATACTGTACTTGTCTATAATATTATAAATATAATAAATAAATATAACATTAAATTGCATTCCTAAATTGTAATAAATAATTTTTATCAATATATCTCTTAGTTAAAAACAAAAGTTTATATGCTTTATGATCATTGGTTGTGCACTGTCAATCTTTAATCTCAACTTCAAATTCAGTATTCTACAAAAATCATAATGTTTTATCTTATTTAATACTAATAAAAAGCTATTCACAACTGCTAACCTTATCAAGTTACACTATACATAACTCATTGAGCTATATAACATGTAAAAATGGTTCCCAACAGTGATGCAAACTCGGGCCGACCAGCACCAGAGCAACGTAGTAGGGGAAGCAAGCACACAAGTTCAATTGTAAAAGCGAGTGAATATACTGTGTTCCGACTCTTTTCTACCAAGGCGACGCCTGTAGCCTATCTGAAAAATATCGTAAAGATCTTTTAACAAGATAAGGTATAACGAATGAAAGATTATTCTGTTTTCTAACGCAAAAATTGTCGATGAAGGACAAAGCAGTAAACACATTCCGATAAGGTCAAATCTCAAATATATTGTTCTCCACACAAAAAATCCTAGTTACTTTAAATAAAAAAAATATATAAAACAATAAAAAATAAAGATTGCAAGTAAAAAGACATTTTTAAAGCAATTTGTTTTTCTTATAATACTACTAACAAATCTATGTTCTTGACAAAAGTTGATAACCGCAGAGTTGATGATTTTCATGAAGACAGAAGCTAGAATCCGATGGTTTGAAATCCGACAACTTTTCTGTGACATTTTTTGCGTTATTTTTCCATATTTCGCGAACGATACAACCTGGTCATTTCTACGCAGGTTCAGCTGCACGAATTTTTCGGAAACTTTCAGAGTTAATCTATTAATTAAAAAATGACACTTAAGAACAAACTTAATAATCTTCGAATAGTGATTAAGACGTTGAGGAATAAATAAAACACTACAATAAAACGCACGTACCTTTTTGCTCCTGCTGGGTTCCATGCCGGCAGCAATATTATTTCATTATCTTGTATGATATACGCGTACGTCTTAATTATTAAAACTATTAATACAAATTTCAATAAAAGAAACATATTCAATTTGCGTGTCTCAATTTTAATCACTTGAAAATATTTAATTGAAGTTCTTTTATATATTATATATATATATACAAACTCTTATATATGTACATAATTAAATTATTAGATATTATTATTATATTATATTGTTATATCTTAAAATATCGCGCATCAAACATATACTGCTGTCTATTAGAAATATCATTCGTGTCGTGAAATTTGTTCTGTGTTTTCTCTTTGCTATATGATCATACTTACTGTCCGAAATCTAAATTTGATACGTGGTATTCTTGATAATATCAAGATATTAATCTTATAGTATAGCAAATGCAACTTATCATTCATATGTTTAACTTGTAACATTATTTAGAAATGCATGACTTCAACTGACAATTAGATTTTCAAGAGTTCGAAATTAAGATTGGTTTAATAATTCATGATTTACTGTAAATCCGTTATGTCTTGAAAGTTACATTAGTGTTAACAGATAAAAAAATCAAAAACAAACAAAAAATGATAAAACACTGAAATACAATCACTCATTGTGATAGACATTGTAAGTCAAACCTTTTCTCATATACATTTTGCCTAATAGAAATATTCTTCATATTATATATCAAGATTAATTAAAGAATATATTAAGACTCGATTGTTTCAAACATCATGTAAAAATTAATTATGTCATGTAAAGTGCTCCTAAATTAAATAAATAATTAACTATTTATATTGAAAAATCATTGAAATATGTAATACGTAATTTTTTATTTTTGTTTCTAATATTGATACTTTTTTTACAAATTAATAAAACATTAAGCAATACGGAATTAAATGTCATAGCAGATTATTATTCTTCTTTACGTAATCACATTTTTTCACTTTCTTTCGAACGTAATAACATTGCCTCCATTTTATTTAACACATTATACTCCCTTGTCATAAACATGTCTATAATTACTATTCATACATACATGTTGATCATGTATCGCTAATTATTCTTTGAATTTTATTATATTCTTCAAATGAGTAACTTTCCGGCAGACAATGAGTCTGACAGCAATATAGTCCTGGCCTTCTTCCTTGTTGACATCACGTTCCA